CTTCCCTTTCTGTCTTCAGTCCTTCCTTCCATGAGTATGTGCTGTTCTGTGCTGGGTTCTGTGCTGAGAAATGATGACACACAGACAGGAGCAGATGTTTCCTGCTTTCAAGGAGTGTTTGTGCTTTCTGGAGATCCAGCCTGCAAACCAGGATGTAGATAGACATAACTGTGAGCTGAGAGGGTTTCCCAAAGCATTTGGCACAAGGGAGGAAATGTCTCATTCTACTTGGAGAAAGTGGCTAGAGAGGGGCTGGACAGGAGAAAGTGCTGAAGGTGAGCACGGAGGACGGAGGCCATATTTCTCAACTAGTCTGCAAGAGCAAGAGACGGCAACCCAGTTCTACTCAGGAGATGGTTTTCCATGCCTTTCTCCTGCTTGATGCTAGCTCCGTGGCTGGTGGCTTCTGTTTAGTTCTTCCATTCAGAGGTTAAGTGGAAGTGAAAGTTGTTTATCTGGCTTCTGCCCAAGGAAAAGTGAAGGAAGGAAGCTGGCAAATTAAAGACTTAAAAAAATATATAATGCAAACTTTTTATTCAATTGCAATGATTGTTTTAAAGTTATTTTTAAGTTGTTTTATGTGTATGAGTGCTTGGTTGCATGTATGCATGTGCACCACATGTATATCTTGTATCCTTGGGGGGCCAGGAGAGGGTGTCAGATCCCCTGAAACTGGAGTTAACTATGAGTCATCAGGTGAGTGCTGAGAATCAAACCTGAGTTCTCTGCCAGAGCAAGTGCTCTTAACTGTTGGCCCGTCTCTCCAGGCCAATGGCAATGATGTTAAAATACATTTTCTTAGTCTGAAATTATCTTCTAACTTCTTAGTTTTATGAGATATTTAGATGATGGCAATATTAATGAAATGATTAAAGAAAAAACTTCACATACTGCTCTCCCCCATTTCCCAGGCATAACACTATTAATTTGATGGGCATCTTTCTGAATTTTAAATTCACATGACTGTAACTAAAATATTTTAGAGCAAAGATGAAGTTGTGTCGCTTGGAGTGTTTGTTAATCATGGTCTCTGCAACTTGCTTCTTCCTTGTCCTCTTCAGCTGTGTCTGTAGAGCATGACCACTCTTAACAACAGTTTCCAGAGGGGAGGCCTCTCCCAACCCCCATGCGAAGAAAAGGCTGCAGCCATAAGTAGATATTGCTTTGAGTCAAAAGGAAGAGTGATAGAGGTCTGTACTGAGCTCTGAGAATGGTCCTCTGCTTTCTACATTTTTTCCCCCAGGGTCATGTTTTTGGAATCATCAGCTTTTGCACATGTCAGTTCTGAATGTTACTTATCCCTTGCACCTAAACCTTATAATTTTTTTCTTAATGTTCACAGTAAACTTAGTGTGTTTGTGTGTATGTGTGCATACATGTACATGTGAACATATATGCAAGGAGCAGTGGCTTCCTTTTGTAATGGTTCGCATGAACAGTTGAGGCATCTCTAGAGTGGATGTTTCTTGGTGTGTTTACTTCTTATCAGTCTATCCCAGTCATTTCACTCTCTGGATCAACATCATCCCTCTACTGAGTCTTCCATTCCCTCTGCATCTGGCTTCTGCTTATTTATTCATCCATCACATAGTTACTGTCTTAGTTAATTTTTCTATTGCTGTGAGAAAATACATTGACCAAAGTGATTTAAGGGAGAAAGGGTTTATTCTGGCTCACAAATTGAGGATCTGTTCCATCATGGAGGGCAAGTCATAGCAGCAAGAGCTTGGGACAGCTGTCACATTCCATTCACAATCAGTAAGCAGAGAGAGATGATGGTTTGTGGTCAGCTGGCTTTCTCCTTTGTGTTCAGTCTGACACCCTGGACCACACTGCACACAGTGGGCAAGTCTTCCACCTCGTTTAGCCTAATTGAGATAGTCCATTTGTCTTAGTTAGGATTTCTATTGCTGTGAAGAGATACCATGACCACAGCAACTCCTTTTCTTTAATTTATTTTTTTATTTTGCATACCAACCACAGTTCCCCCTCCCTCCCCTTCTCCTATTCCCCCTCTTCCCTTGTGCCCCACCCCCATTCACTTCTCATCGGGGTAAGAATTCTCTTGGGTAGTCAACACCGGCTAGCATATCAACCTGGGGCAGGACTACACTTCTCCACCCTACATCAAGGCTGAGTAAGGCATCCCACCATAGGGAATGGGCTCTAAAAAGTCAGTTCATGTACCTGGGATAGGTCCTGGTCCCATTGCCAGGGGCCCCACAAACAGATCAAGCCACACAACTGTCACCTACATTCAGAGGGCCTAGTTCTGTTTCATGCAGGTTCCCCAGTGGTCAGTCCTGAGTCCGTGAGCTCCCACTAGCTCAGGTCAGCTGTCTCTGTGGTTTTTCCCATCATGATTCTGACCCCCTTTGCCCCTATAGTCCCTCCTCCCTCTCTACAACTGAATTCCAGGAGCTCGGCCAGGTGCTTGGCTGTGGGTCTCGGCATCAACCACAGCAACTCTTATAAAGGAAGGCATTTAATTAAGGCTGGCTTACAGTTTAGTCCATTGTCATTATGGCTGGAAGCATTGTGGCACACAGGCAGACACGATGCTGGAGAGAGAGCCAAGGGTTTTACATCTGGATTGGAGGCAGCAGGAAGAGAAGAGAGAGCCACTAGGCCTGGCTTGGGCATTTGAAACTCCAAGGTCCACCCTCAGTGACAGATTTCCCCCCCGCAAGGCCATAACTACTCCAACAACAATTTTTCCCCCAACTTGAGACAAACTGGGTCATCTGGGAAGAGGGGAACCTCAATTCTGAAAATGTTTTCATTAGATTTGCCTCTAGGGGTTGAGTCATCACATGGCTTCCAGGGATTGACCTGTCTGGGGCAGTAAGGAGATGAGACAATGATAGACACATGGACTCCAGGATAGAGAAGAGCTGGAATCAGATGGGTTGGATCTCTAAAGGCGAAACCACAACATGTTTAGCATATCCAATAGAACAGGAAGTCAGGGCTATTGCATACAGCTGAATAAAGGTAGGAGCAGTCTCTGTAGGCGAGCAGTCTTCAGGCTGTAAACATTCAGGGTGGGTTGTGGGGAGAAAGCTATGGTGGACATTCTCTGCACACACTATCAGCCTCTACCCATGGACCAGATGTGCTTAGCCATCCTTCTGAGTCTCACCCTGCAGGGACAGCTTTGCATTTGCCCATGGATTGAAGGCTATGGTCCTTGGCATGACCATGACCATGTCAATAACATGTTCACTTAGGCCTTTACACACTCAGGGTTTCCTCTACTCCTCACAGGTAGGCAAGTCCATTAGGGCATTTTCTTGATTAATGGTTGATAAGGGAAGGTCTGGCCTGCTGTACACCTGGACAAGTGGTCTTGAGAAGTATAAGAGTAGCTAAATGTGGGCCTGGAGCCCAAGCTAATACACAGTGTTCCTCCACAGCCCTCTGCTTCAGTTCCTTCCTCCATGTTCCTTGCCTGGAGTCCCTTCCCTGACTTCCCTTCCTGCTGGACTGTAAGCTGTAAGATGAGAGACCCCTTCACCCAAGTTGGTTTTGTTGGTGTTTTATCATAGCAACGGAAACAAACTAGGATACTTCTCATGTTTCTTAGTTCACTTTGCTGAGGAAAGAATCTGATAGGCCAAGGGGACTTCAGGTCTTCGGTAGATTGCTGGGTGTTCCGTGACCCAGTGCCCTTTGTTCAGGCAGATGTGGCTGGAGAAGGGTGGAGGAGTTGGACACCATGGATTCTCCTATCTCTGATCTACTCAGCATCTTCTCTAAGGATTTCCAGGTCTTACTATGCACTTGTATCATCTCTCACAGGGACTGCAGTGATCTGCATATATTAAATATTCAGTGGATATCTATATAGTCAACATTTATTCCCATGGTATTGGGCTTCCTGTGGGCAGAGAGCAAGAGTCACCGCTGGAGATACGGCTCAGTGGTTAAGAATACTGCTCTTGGCTGGGAGGTGGTGGTGCACACCTTTAATCCCAGCACTCAGGAGGCATAACCAGGCAGATCTCTGTGAGTTCGAGGCCAACCTGGTCTACAGAGTGAGTTCAGGACAGGCTCCAAAACTACACAGAGAAACTCTGTCTTGGACCGCCTCCCCCCCCCCCTCGCCCCCCCCACACAAAAGAATACTGCTCTTACAGAGAACCCAAGTTCAGTTTCCAGAATCCATATCAGGTGGCCTACAATTGCCTGTGTTCCTGCACATGCACACCACACACACACACATACACAACGGGGGGGGGGGGGAGAGAAACATTGTTTTTTATTTTGTAATAAATTCTTTCCATGTCATTGCTCTACACTAATGGGACATTTATTTGGGGGGGGGGGGACTCAGTGATATTCTAATGTCACCTTCTCCTAGCCCCTGCTATGTCCTGCTAGCTCTTGCTGACCATTGCAGCTCCCTGTGTAGTTTTCTACCTGAAGCGTCACCAACATCCCTCATTCATCTTAGCCATCCTTTATCTTTCCTTCCCTTTCTCATGACCCAAAGACGAAGTCGTCCCATGCCTTAGCTTTACTGTATCATGTAGTTTTATACCTTTGGCCTTTGTGCTCTGTTGCTGTTTATAGGTTTGTTTTCTCTATTGGACTATGAACACTTTCAGAGCAGGCAGCCCTGTCTGTCATCCTCACACCATAATACCAAGTAAAATGATCATTGTGGGGCCTCCAGTAAGTTTTATGAAGGAAGTACCCTTCACAGATGGGTATGTATTTTACATATTTCATGTGATTTCTAGATAAGATATGGAGCTCTGAATGTGAAAATCCTGATAACAGGTTTCTAATAGTACTATGACAGTTTCCTAACCAGTGAATGAAGAACAGTATAAATTTGTGTTCCACACCCGTCAGCATGTAATAATGAGTGAAGATTATATCAGGAGGGATCCTGGTTAGGAAGTTGATAAACTGAATCCAAACTCCCCTTCTCAGAACTTTGAAGAATTATAAAGAGTACTTTTAAAGACAAAGACTTTGAGTACCTCTCTGCATGAGTTTACTTATATATAAAAACAGGGGACTAAAAGTATAGATGTAATCTAGTAAATGAAATCCATTCTTTTTAACTTTAGAATTACATTATTCTAATGGTTCTACCTAATAAGGGTTAACTATTACATAAATGACTTAGATCAAAATTACTCAGAAACATTATGTTAAAAAAACAAACAAACAATAAAGCCCTCTGTTTTTACCAGTGTTCATGCTTGAGAGCTGTTCTGACTTCTAGGAAGAGATGTGTGAATGCATTTAGTGGTCATTTCCACAGGGGTTCTGTTTCTTTAAGAGAATATGGTTGTTAAGTCAGAAGATCATTGAACCATATGAGGGTCAATAAAAGAATAAAATCACTGGTTAGCGATTCGAGTACAAGGAACTTGATCCCAGTGTATGCTGCTCACAGTCAACAGAGGAGTGCCAGATCCTTGGCTGTTTGCTGCTCTTCAGGATGTTTTCTGGCAGAATAATTAAGCTGGTGGTTTTTGAGCTTCTTGAGTTTGCTGCCTTTTCTGTCCCTACCCTTGTGATAATGGAACAGTTTGCTACTGCCTATCAGAAGACAAGGGACAACTCTGACAGGACGCATTATTGGCTCATTGTCTCCTGCTCCATTGCCTATGTGGCTGCAATGAGTCTCTTGATCTGGGTTCCGATAAAAGTTGTCTTATTCAAGAGATGGCATCTTTACAAAAAAATTGTAGGATGGTAAGTAAAAGAGCTCATTAGCAGGGAGTCCCTGCCATGTTTTTAATCCATGGATGTGATGTGTACATGTGTGCCAAGCATATGGACTTAGCACAAGTGTGTATAAGATAATGGTGACATTGCATTCACTGTCTGTAAATGTATTGATGTTGTGGTATCTTTTATATCTTCTATGTAAACATGTTGATGTTATGCTATTGCTACATTGTCTATGGTCACTTTTTTTTCTGAATAACAAATTACATATGTTAACAAGGTATGTTGGTTTGAATGTTGCCAGTACTTTCTGCACTGAATTGTACAAAGTCTCCAGAGTTACCCTACACACATCATGATCATTAGCACACAGAATTTCACTTTTGCACCAAACTGAAAGTAACATATCTTTCTACATGTTTACATTGCACTTCATGGGTCTAAGGCATGATTTGAATGTTTATTAACTGAGATGTGTTAGGCAACCTGATTATTAAGATTAAAAACAAAAAGAACACTCAAGGTGATGGTAAGTCATGTTGTTAACCCTTGCAGGGAGAAAATATGTCTGTGATAATGCAGAGGTGCCTTAAGTAAAGATTTAATGTTGCCAGGTTCAGTGGTATATACCTGCACACCCAGCAATCAGGAGGCTGAGGTAGCAGGATCCAGGGGGTCTAGATCAGCATGGGCCCAGGGGTTCTAGATCAGCGTGGGCTACATAGCAAGACACAGACTCTCAAGAGAAACAAAGTGAACACAGCAGCAACAAAGTCACCTTACTTTGGCATTTACTGTCAGTTCTGACTGGTGAGCTTGAGAACAATCCCTGTTACTATTGTGCTTTTTCCTTTTAGGTCTTCAGATCTGGTTCTCACTTCTCTGGGATTTCTTTATCTTCTCTGATGAGTTCAATTCTCTTTGTCGCTTTGTTACTGATCCTTTACTTTACAGGTGAGCAACATAGAGAGAATTTGAAAAAGGAAGAGCTGAGTGTTGTAATATAATTTAGGGCAGAAATGTAAAAGCCACACCTACAGCAATAGAGTAATCTTTGAAAGGATGTTGACACAGAGAGCTGAAGTATGAGTGGAGTTTACCAAGGGTTCCTTAGGTACTGACCCTGGATGTGGCGCCCTGAACCTTGCCAGGGCACTTTCTGTTCCCTAAGGTCAAGACTTCTTAGAAGTAAATCATTTTGTGGTTGGCACTGCCTTTGTCATGGGAGACAGAGACTTTCCACCCCTGGCATGAGCCTCAGGTTCACAAATGGGGTGTCTTAGAGATGGGCCATACACCCCCAATTGCTTTGACTGTCCAAGACAATTAGATGAGCAAAGGATTTTGAGGAGATAATAGCAATTCCAAATGACAGTGAGAATAAAGCAGTTGGACAATAGCCCACTGCAGTACCCGCCCCACAAGACTCTTGGCTTTGATGGCTTGTTTTGACATTGGCTCATTTCTCTAGCACCTTATGCCCTTAATGTTATTCAGATGTCCAACTTTTCCTCATAATTATTATCAATATGATGATTATTAAGCTATAATTGCTTTTTCACAGGTCCTGTATGTTGAGGATGTTATACATGGATTTTTATTTCTTAATTCTGTACCACCTCATACAAGTATTTTACCTTTAAAAGTAGATATTTTTAATGAATGTCTCATTAGTATTCCAAAAAGGAAACTGATATTCAGAAAAACTTAGCAACTTTCCCAAAGCCAGTCTAGTAAGTGATAGAACTGAGCATTGGACTTTGGCCTGTCTCAGTCCATGCCTGATACTCCAGCCATGATTCTAGATTATCTCTGATGAACCAGGCCTCGGGCCTTCAGGGCAATTGAGATGGAGGAGAAGTCTTTTGTTCCCAGTCTTCAATGCTTGGTGCATCCTCACCCTTCCGCTGTCTGCTCAAACTTCATTTTACACATCTGTCCCAAGTTATGCATCTGCATCAAAGGGTCTGGGTTTGTTGCCACAACTTCATCTTTCAGTGATTCTTCTGGGGAATCCTCTCCCTGTCTTTAGTTTCTGTTTGTGGGTGAGGCTGGCCACAGGTGCTGTGAACGCTTTTACATAGATATCAGTTTATCTGTAATTTCACTGAACTCTGCAACTATTTATTTCCTCATGGGCTCATTCATGAACACTATCTAGTAGTGACCTTTTAGAGTCATTAAAGAGAAGAAACAGCTCATGAAAACAACTTGTAAGCATTTTACATGCTCAGCAAAGCTAAATTTAGACTTTATGGCAACTCAGTGGAGTTAGGTGTTGCTGTCCTCATGTTATATCTGGTGAAATAGAAACTTAAAGTGGTAACTTTGTTAAAAGATATGGCTGCCTTGAGGTGGGTCTGAGATTTGTAAGCCCAGAGTTGTCTGATTCTGTGCAAGTTCTTCTATTTTGGGAAATTTTTTCTTTCTTCTTTTTGATTTTTGAAGGCCAACCATGGTTTGCTTTACTGGCATTAGAATATATTTCTCCCAAAGATGTACATTTCAGTAGTACTCATAACATGATTTCCAATGATATTTTGTCATTTGACCATATGAGAGGCAATATAATGATACCATTACAACCTCAAAGTTATTTTTGCATTTACACAAGTGCAATCATGTACAGGGCATTAAGCCTTAATTGCTACATGAAGATTGCTTTTTAAAACACTATACATAGTGGAGATCACAAACATTATTTTAATTATTTATTGTTGAGTAACTAGGTAGATAGTTTTTCATAAAAAGTTTAATAAATCCTTAAATTCATAAGTTTGATATTGATGAGACTATTTGAGCACATCCCCAAAAGACCACATGAACCCTATGAAACTGGTCTTCAGAGAGAGGGACTAGAGCACTGATAATAAAGAATCTGCCCAAAGAACAAGAATAAGAAAGAGCAGACATGGACTCAAATCTCAGCTTTGACATTGTCTTATATGAGTTATTTATATTTTCTAAGCTTTAGTTTTCTCAAGAACCAAAAAGGAACAATCTAGTTTCCATTTTGGTTTAAAAAAAAAAAAACAGCATAAGATTGTGCCTCTAAAATTGCTAATACAGTGCCTCAAAGCACTATATGGCTATCAGTGTTAGTGCCCTCCAGCTGAACTGATTATTTCCATTTAAACTGTGAACCTTGTTTAATCCATAGAGTAATCTTGAGAAAGATCATGAAAGATGTCATGATGAAACTGAAGAGAAGTAGATGTTGTCAGTGGTACTCCTAGAATTTGAAGAATTTTGTAGGCTCTCTTTTGCCATTTGAACATGAGAACCCATATAATGATACCATTATAATCTCAAAAGTAATCTTTGCATTTATGCAAGTGCTTTGAGTTTCCCTTTCTCTGTGACCTACTGGACAGGGCTGTGAATTGACCAGGTGGCTATAAATCTTTTCTGAAGAGGAAGCAAGTCACAGAGCTGAAGACATACACCAAATCAACAGTAGAGTTTGAACTTTCACTTGTGCTCAACACTTCCTCATTCTTTCAGAATCATTGTTCCTCTCTTCATTGCCTGTTATCATTCATGTGGGTTAGGGAGAGGCTAGGTGGAATAAAGAAAAGCTCCTTAAGTAAATACCCAAGTGTATGTGACAATCCATAAGAGAGATCCTTTCCTGGAGGATCAGAAGGCTCACTGGGGACAGGACAGCTCTGGAGGATTTGTGGAAATCCCCAGATTGCCTCAGGACCCGGAGCCATATTTCACAGATTCTTCCTACTCTTTTTCACGATACAACTCTTACAAACTATGATGTATCAGGAATCCTTGGGATCGTGAAGTTTGAAAGGCCATGTTTTGAATGACATTTAGTTTGTTGAGATTTTGCTGTTGCTTTGTGTTAGGCAATGGAAATGGCAGTGGTGGTAGGTGTCCTCATAGTAAAATAAGAACAAGCATTTGTTAAACACTTCCTATGTGCCATGCTAGCTACATCAGTTCGGTCAACTCCCTAAACTTGATACTCAAGAAGCATAGCTCCCCTTTTATAAATGAGGAAACTGAGTCACAGACGTTAATAGATCACACAAACAAGAGATGCAAGAACATCCCTTGGATGTCTGTCTCCAGGGTCCTCCAGTAGGACACACAGCACCTGTGACATCTGTGCTACACTGCACAGACTGGCTAACCTGCAGGGAATGTGGCCTACTGTTTTTAGTAGGATATCCATAACCATTTTATTATTATTACTGTTATTATTTATGATTATGATGGGTGTTTTTGAGGTAGGACCTCCTTTCTCACAGAAGCACCTCAAACTAATTGGTCTAGCTTGAGTTTTCCTGCCTGGCCCACAGTCAGAACAAATCTCTCTCACCTGCCAGTCCCACAGTTGCTCAGACCTGACCAAGTAAACACAGAGACTTATATTGCTTATAAACTGTATGGCCTTGGCAGGCTTCTTGCTAACTGTTCTTACAGCTTAAATTAATCCATTTCCATTAATCTATACCTTGCCACATGGCTTGTGGCTTACCGGCATCTTCACATGCTGTTTGTCATCATGGTGGCTGGCAGTGTCTCTCTGACTCAGCCTTCCACTTCCCAGCTTTATTCTCCTCCTTGTCCCGCCTACACTTCCTGCCTAGCCAATGGCCAATCAGTGTTTTATTTATTGACTAATCAGCAACACATTTGCCATACAGAACATCCCACAGCAAATTGGTGTGTAGCTGATGATGACCTTGAATTCTTGAGCCTCTTGCCTCCACCTCCCACGTGCGTGGATCACAGGAATGCACCCCCAACTCTCAGTTTTATGCAGGGCTGGGGATCAAAATCAGGACTTTTTGCAAGCTAGAGAAGCAGCCTGTCAACTCAGCTGCATCTGCACCTTGATCCCAGTATCTATATATTGGTGCCTTATAGTTATTTACTTTACCAGTGTTCCCATGTGGCTGTCATCTTCCTCCTTGTTCAGAATCAGTGACGTTATCATTCTGGACTGTAGGCTTTCCTTCTTTACCCTACTCTATTCCATAAGTCAGTAAGAGCCACCCTTTTGG